AAAAATATCGATTTTTCCAATGTATTGACTCGTTTGAAAAGTTTTCCCCTGTCTATTTTTAAACTAACAATATTTAAATTTCAATACACTAGAATTAAATTGGAAAGGTTTCGACGTTTCTAACATAGACACAATGTTTTTTTTTTCTTTTTTTCTTTTTTTCCTGGTGGGGTGAGAAGTAATTTTTTTATTTGTCGACGTGGTGTCTAAAAAAACAAAAAGAAACTTTTTAGAAAAGATAAATTAGACGAAACTTTTTATTCGATTTTTTTTTAATTTTATTTATAAAACTGTCATTTAACTGTTCGTACTTGTGTACCTTTTTTTATTGGTTACCTGTTACCTTACCTATTATCTTGTTTACCTTTGTGTATGTTTTTATTCATTTATATCAACAATATAATTTATTATCAAAGATTACCAATCTTATTCGTCAAAACTCGATACGATGAAAACTATATAAATACCGTTGTAAAAGATAATCTTATCTAATATATCAAAATGTTTATGATTATAAAGATAAAATAGAATAATTTTATAATAACAATCGAAGAAACGATCGCTTGTCAGATGACAAATTAATTAAAATAAGAGTCAATCCTCTGAAGGTATTCCAAAAAATATCCTACTTCGTCTATTGACAAATAGACAACAGAAAGTGATTCAGACAACTTTTTCGACTATATTAATTTATGTAGCTTAAAAAATGAAGCTGTCCGATTTGTGATGTGGTCTCCTGATATTATGAACTTAATGGGTAATAGGTAATAATCAATTTGTAAACTGAAGGCATAGTTCAAATTAATAATAGCACAGGTGAATATGAAATATACAGACTTGAAAGATGATGAAATTTTTGATGATGAAGGAAAGATCATCTTCGCGCTATCAGAAATTATGATAATTATGAACCGTTTAAAGATAAACCCAGAAGAAGAGAGGGACGTTATGATTGATGATCAAATGAAGGATCTATTGTTTGGTAAACCAAATAGATTGGCGACTGTACATTTTGGTGAACCAAATAGATTGGCGACTGTACATTTTGGTAAACCAAATAGATTAGTGACTGTAAATTTTGATGACGCGATATCAATTACCATATCGCAAGACAACAATAATTCAAAAGGAGAAGTACTTCTATCCAATGAAAAAGGTTAATAAGGAAATTATTATTAGGGGAGTGACAGATACACAGAAAAACCAAGACCAGAGCAGCAACAGTTAGGATCGTGGATGAGTTGGGTATATGGTGATATAAATGGTGAGAGTATTCTGATTAAGAATGAGGAGAAAACTGGAGTAGAGAGACTTGATGGACAGTGCGAAGAGAAAGTGATTGATCATTTTAATCTTGGTTTGGTAAACATGAACAATATAAGGTGCGAGTATTAAACGATGATGTCTATTTTGGATATCCAAAGAGTTGATTCAAGATACACACCACGTTTATGTTGGAATATATAATGAATTTTAAAGTGGAATGCTTGAATTGTTGTTGCATCACAAACGGGGACCCTGAGTAGTTAAATTAATTAAAATTAATTAATTTCTATATACATATACATATATACATATACATATTCTTAATAATATATCAATTAAAAATATAACTCGCATGATCATTTCTAGATCGTTCGGTGATGAAAGACAATCGGTCGAGAAGATCAAAATTACGAGAATGAAATGAATCGAATCCAATCACGTTTTGGGGATGATGATGATCATTTGAATCTTTTAATATATAACATCTCTTTTCCCTAACCTTCATCTTTCTCATTTGCTTTTCTTTCTTCACTCTGACAAACAACAAATTTGTTTCTTGAACAAAAAACAAAAGAGAGAAAAAAAGAAAGAAAGTGAAGGGGCTAAGAGGGGGAAGGAAGTAAATTTCAAAAAGTAGAGAAAATGAAATGGGGAAAGAGGAAGAGGATGGGGGTTGTAAAATTTAACGCGAATTAAAAATTGAAGAAAGGTTAAGGGAATTGGTGGAGGAGGAAGGGGAGGAAGGAAAGGGAGGGAGGGAGGAGGAGGAGGAGGAGGAAGAAAGTTCGAGAAATATTTTGGACGTGGATGCTGTGGCCCGTGTTGGGGGATGATGGGCTAAGCCCAACGTCGCCCCCGCCGGCGTCGACAAGTGTTAAGGGCGTCAACAAACTGGCACCCTTTCTACTTTGTGCACCCTGCAAGCCGAGCCAAAAGAAGAATCAAAGTTCAACGCAGTGGTACGTGCAGCAGGTAAACAAAGTCAACACGCCTATTATTGGTCTTCTTATTGGTCGTATTGTTTTATTTATATTTTTATTTCTTGTCACGTTGTTCATTGAATATATTATATTATATTTTTGTAGAATAATTCATTTGTTGTTTTTATTCGTGAACGCACATTTCACAATTATTTTAGTATTTTATTTAAAGTAAGCAACGATGAGTTTTAAACAAAGTCAACACGCACGAAAAACACACACCCCCTATTATTGGTCTTCTTATTGGTCGTA